ACATTAGCTGGGTAGTATACCGCATTATATCTTGATCTTCCAATTTGTGACAATATCGTATTGCGATGCGTATTGTGTCACAACACCTTTGGTAGTACTTGATCCCTATACCAGATGTGCAGGGCGCTGGCCCGTGTTGCACCCTGGGTAGAACCGGCCATGCTTAGTCGGGTCCACTGGGGTACCAGCAATAATGGTAGGAATGTTAGGGATAATAAAAGTCCTACACATTGGCTGTGTTTTTGATCGCAAATGTGCGCAAAACAGTTTCCATATTCTGCTAAAAATGCAAACTTTTGCAACTGGAGTATTTCCATTAAATAACAAAATGCTGTTAAAATTTTTACCCAATTAACATGGAATCTATCCGTATTTCGGATGGCTGTTGTTCTGTTTAATTTAATTTTGTTATTCTATTTTGAAGGTTAATGGAAACGCAGCTAGAGACATATGAGTATTACAGTTTAGATTCAGACTGCTACATCTGATGAAGACGAAAAAATGAAACAAGGTTTCTCTTACTTATTAGGTTATATAACATCTCAGGTTACATAGAGGGACTCCATAGCAGTATTTTTACTAGGACTATGACTGAGACCTGCAATAGGAAATGAGTAATCACAAGTTTTATTGTTAATCAGCTTTAACAAGCCGATGATGTGGTCAGTTTTAGGTACATTAGAGTTTCTGAAATAGTAATACTTTTTTTCTCTAAGCTCTTTTTCTCACTTAATCTGAGTGCTAAGCTTGTTGCTAAATATTCCCATGGCTTTGTTGTTTCCATATTTTTTCACTAAGGGCGACACGTTTCCTTAGATCCTTAAAAATATAATTTTTCAACCTGAAGAAAATTACTTTGCATTTGTAAACTCCCACATGGCTTCAACATTCGGTCAAAGCCAGTCATTCCCCAGATAGACACTGGGATTTGGTCTGGATTATACTGACGAAAAGATCATTTCATAGATTCTAAAAGCACAATTGTTTTTTTGCAACCATATTCTTCTTTGAGTGTTTGCTAATCTCTTAAACCCATTTATGGTTCTCCTTAAGCGAAGGTAAAGAAACAAAAAGGAAGTTAATCGGAGCCAAATACTTTCAAGTCCTCTGCTGCCTTTCATACATAAATGTGTTTTTATATAAACCATTCTTCTGTTTGTTTCCTGTTGGAAGGTGTTACTCCACACCCTTCTTCTAAAGCATCTGAAAAAGACTCCTCTCTAGATTATCCCGTATTTTCTCCCATTTGTTTATATTGCGGAGGAAGCCTCCCCACAGCATGATGCTGCCACCACCACTGGCGGTGGCAGGATTATTCAGGGCCTGAAGCTCAATGAGATTGATGGTTGTAGTGAGGAGTTGCTTGGAAAGCAGAAGTCTAAATTCTTCTGCAAGGCAACAGAGGTCCCTGCTTTTAACTTCACTTTAAGAAGCCACGCTCTATGCTTCTATGCCTCCCCGTAGCTGCCCGGTTACTGATGATGTCATCAGCAGGAAATCAAGTCTCTGTTCCTTGTTGTGAGGTGACATGAGATTGTTTATGGAAAGGTTGAAATGTTTGGCCAGCATGTTGAGTGTCGCGCTTCCTGTTTCTGAACGCTGCAGCTCATTGGCTGATCTTTGCTGTGTCACGGATATTGATCAACAGCCTTATCATCCTTATGCAGATGCTGTTACGAGGAACTAGATGGTGAGAAGTATAAATTCAGGGCATGTACCTCTAAACATGGAGTTATAATTTCAATAAAACTACCAACACATACTTTCATTCCTTTTTTTTCATTAATGGTTCTTATTGTTTTATATACAAACAAATTCAAACTGTTGCTTTTTTGCCACAATCTGGTCAGTTAATATTTTTTTTCGATAAATCTTAAATATAAGAATGCGATCATTATATGAAAGTAGGAAAAAAAAAAACGGCCTCTGATTGTTGTTAATCGGAACAAGTCGGCTGCAGACCAATTGCCTTCTCTTTAACTGCGGAAGCCCCGCCCACCTTGTTTGATGCATTAAGCTAAAACATTAAACTCCTTATTTACTCAACTTTAAGCATAATAAGTAGTATCATTCAGTGTTTTTTAATAATAGATCTTTGAGTTCAGAGTATCAGTTAATTTAAGTAATTTTTTGCATATCTGTTAGTTGTCAGAGTCTGGTTAATTCCTGGAAGTTTTCAGCTGCCTGGTTACTGGTGACCTCATGTACTTTTGGCTAACTTGAACAGAATAAAATGCGTGTCAGCAGAAAGGAAGTTTTTAACTCAGAGCTGCTCCTGCTGTGTCAGCAGAAGGAAAAGGTCAACGTGGATCTATCTTGGTTAAAACTAAACTCCACGTGTTTTTAGAAATGAGGAAGTTTTTGAATTAAAACCAGAACTGCTGTCTGGTTGGTGCGTTTATGTGTATTTAGAAATACTCTGACCCCCTGTTTGTGATTCTTTTGATTTTACTCACACTCTCACTTCTCCTTTTTGATCCTTAAAGCTTATAACAATGTAGTGACCATTGGTTAACCTTCCAGGCTGCTTCTCATTAAAGCTTGATTTTTGTTTTTAAAAAATGACAACTTTATTTGTGAGCCAAATAATACTATTTTTTTTTTTCTTAGCCTTTACGTGACAGCTCCAACCCATCGCTGACTGTTTCATCACTATATGCGCTGACCTTCAGGTCTTAATCTGATTGATTAAGATTAACAACTGTTAGATTGTATGGACGAGGGCTGAAAAAGTTATTGGATAATATTATCAATAATTAATCACGATTAATTGATTATTTAAATAATCGTCAACTATTTTATTAATCGATTAAT